AAAAAAATATATGTTAAAATATGTGATATTATCTTCATTTTAATGTAAAAATAAAAAATATTTATTAGTAAAATTGATAACTTTTATATAAAGAGAAAAATCCGCATTTTACTATGTTTAATTAATAAATTTTGATGTCGTTGCATTATTTCTGATTGCCACTGTACATGCGTACACGCATAGTACGAATAATTTTTTATTTTTTTTATAATAACGAAAACACATACAAAGAATATCAAGAAATACAGGGGAAAATGTGTTATTTGCTCATGGATGGAAAAGTATATAACTATAAAATAAAAAAATACTTTCTTTTTTTATTATTTTTTAAAAAAAAGCAAATAACTAAAAAAAAATACATAATTCCAGCCAGTATTTCGAGTTGATTGGCTATTGTTCCAGTATTTCGAGAGTTTGTTGCCAAAGTAGATTTGGTAATGCTTAAAATATAAAAAAATAATATGTATTATTCATAATGTTGCAAGGCTATATTAATTTAAAAATGCTGAAAAGTCTTTAAATAAACAAACACGTTTTTTTTAAAAATAAACAAAAAAATAAATTAATAATAACTTATATCTTTGCAGTCCAATGTTCCTAATATTCCAATAATCCAATATTTCTAGTAATCCAATAGTCTAGTATTTCCAGTTTTCCAGTACAGTATTTCTAATATTACGTACAGTCCAGTACATATATTTTTTGATGCACTATCATATGACACTTCTGGTCACGCTATTATATATTCTCTTGTGTAAAATTTGCGCATAAATAGAACTTCAGACATGCTATTTATGACATGTATAAAAAAAGTGCAGGACAATGTTTCCGTATTTAGTAACCAATTAGACAATCGGCTTGGTTCTAAACATGCGGACTTTCGGTACACTCAGAAAATCGGAAATAAATCGCCAAAAATCTGGAATGATTCAGAAACAGAAATCGGGTTTCACCCGCAATACTAAGTCGTGGCATAACTAACGCTAATAGTTTACCTTCATTTGCTACTGATAATAAATGTTATATTATATTAAAAATATCTTGAACAATAGTCAACTTTCGTGCTATCGTGCTTATATTGTTGAATGATTTTCGTATCGATATAAATGTTGAAAAAATGCGTTGGATAAACATTTAATAAGATATATCGATATCGAATGGATGTTGAATGAATATCTGATATTTATTTTTTATAGAGAAGGAATACCTTTATAAGTAGAATAAATAAATTTTGATAAAACCTAATAAATATATATACCTCTTTTAATTACTGTACTTTCAAAACACAGTTAATATCGATTACATGTTAAATTAACAAGAATAAAAAATTTATAAGTAAAGTAGCTATTATTTCTTTTAACAAAGTGAGCATTATTGTTTACTGTTGGAACTTTTCTTGTAAGACACTCAGTATATTTTCATTCTCTTCGGTATACTAGAATCGAAATCGCTTGGAATATACAAACTGACATTTGTAAACCCTAACATTCGATATAAGTTTTAATTAATGTGAAATTTAAAGTTATATTTAAAAATAAACAAGTACCAATGCCAGTTGGAACTGAAATTGTTTTTGTGGTAAAGACTCGAAATTATGTAAACTGCATTTAAGTGGATTTCTTGTTTTTGTGGTAAAGACTCGAAATTATGTAAACTGCATTTAAGTGGATTTCTTGTTTTTGTTCATATTTCTAGGAACGGCTTTCATCTTCTCATCAAGTTCGTCTAATTTCTGATTCTAAATAGCTGTAGTACTGAAAATGCAACGTACGTATTTAGTTCGCAGTTGCTTTTCATCCAGATCGAGTAGATCTGTTTACTGGAATAGGATCCAACATTTTTCAATAATTGACTTGCACTGTCCAGGAATAGCATTTGGTATCTTTGGTCGTACTTCTTTATAAATGCCTGATATGAGATTTATATTATGACTTTGCCCACCGAATGGTCGTTCACCAATGGCAACCTCATATGTAACTATAAACATCTGCTGCTTTAGCGTATAGCTTTTCGTTTAGTACTTCTGGATTTATATGAGGAAATTCTCCGCAAATTTTTATCGGATTTTTCGATATCAGATATCAGCTGGTTTAGTAAATCCAAATTCAGCGATTTGAGCAATTCAAAACCGTATTAATATATTTCCAGGGTGAAAGTCACGATGCACAGATTCCTCACAGTGAATGTTATACAACCGTGAATAATATATCAATTCGATATCTTAATTTTGCTTCCCAATTTAATTCTTTGCACATGTGTTGGAATCAATATATTCGCATGATCCATTTCATTTATAATAGCTGGTTTTAAGCGCATAAGATCCACAGAAGTTGCAAGGAATGGTATGGAATGGTCCGGCATGGTACGCACAAGTATGGGAAATGTGACAAATTCCGTATACATAAACTCATTTCGGGCAAAGTTTTTATTGACATGGAAATGACACGCATGAGCACAAATTTGACACTCTGTGCTTATGCGTGCAAAAAACTGCCAGAACGTGTGTATGTATACGGAATCTGTCGCATTTCCCATGCTTGTGCATACCACGCTGGGCCACTTCCGTGGATCTTACGTGCTTGCCTTTTTTATAGGGTAATGTCTATATTTTCTTACATTATTGATAAAACTCTAATGTTCATGTACGTAATTTGAAAAAACATGGCGTTTCAGCTTAACCCTAACCCTGAAAAGATCACGAAATAGTTAATTATAAAGCAGTATTTATTCTAAGTGTAAAAGCTTTTCAAAAACTATGAACAAGCTCAAGACTGCTGAAGGAAGCGTAGTCAAAATTTAATGTGTTAGTTTGGCCGTAAGGAATCGACGTGATATTGAATCCATATTAAGGTGGATACGTAATGTGTATTAATTGATGGCGACTTGTACATGTATAACTTATGTATTCATGATGAATCTTATTAATTCACGTTTTTACTCTTCTTCATTTAATGCACGTTGTGGACGTACGTCGTGTTCCCGTATTATTTTTTTTTCATGCATAAATCGTTTTACAAACACAAGTGAACGACGATTTCCATACCACATACATGTATAAAGCATCGTTTTTAAATAAAACACTTTCATAATCACCAATAAACTCAAAGATGGCATCTGAAACTCATGATTGTAGTGAATGCTGCGATTGTCAACGGGAGTACTACTGAAAGCGTGTTCAGTTCACAATATTCATGATTGTAGTAGTAATAACTGTTACGATTGTAAACTGCGAAGAGTGTTCAGTTCACAATACTCATGATTGTAGTAAATGTACTCGTTGTCAAAAAAAAAAAGTACTGTGTTGGATGTTTTCTATATCACGAACGAATTTATGTTGAATGGTCTAGTAGAAATAATGATATCGACAGTCTAATAAATGAATGCAAGGAAATTATAAAATCTTTTGAATGGATCCCTTTTGAAAGCTTTACCACTGTTGAATATCTTGCAAAAGGAGGTTTTGGATCAATTTATAAAGCATTAATGCACTACTACGACGGGTGAGATCATGTAAACAATAAATTTAAACGACGGGGAGCATGAAAGTTGTGGTGAAATCATTACACAATTCAAAGCAAATTACATCCGAGTTTATAAACGAGGTAAAATAAACACCTTTAAGGGTAAGCATATTGCTTTTTTGGTTTTCAATCTAATCAACTTTTTCTAAATTAGATTCAGGCTGCTCTAAAATGCACTTGGGCTATTTTGAATATTATGGAATAACTAAAAACCAGCTACAAATGAATACTCATTAGCGTTAGTGATGGATTATGCAAAGATAGCGATCTACGTAAATATACGAATTCCAACTACGAATTGAATTGGGGGCAAAAATTAGAACATTTAATTTATATTACTGAAGGGTTGAATAAAATTCACGATAAGAAATTTTTGCATCGTGACTTTCACCCTGGAAATATATAATGCATCTTTATCTCAAATTGCTGATTTTGGACTTACTAAACCAGCAGATATAGGAAAATCTGATCAAAAAATTTGCGGAGTACTTCCTTATATGAGTCCAGAGGTACTAAATGGAAAGACATACAATCAAGCTGCAGATATTTATAGTTTCGGGATGATTATATACGAGGTTGTCACAGGTAAAGACGAAGTCACGATATACACCTTGTATGGAATATCTATAAAGGAGTACGACCTACGATACCAAAGAATGTTCCTAAATTATTTTTGAAAAATGCTGGGATCCTATTCCTGAAAACAGACCAACTGTGCAGGAACTTGAAGACTATAAACTCTTATAAGGAGTGGGAACCGAATAATTTGCATCTTCAGTACTATAGCTCTTTAGACTCTCCTAAGAAAAATGAAGAAATTATTGAGTGTCTTAAACTAGAAAAGCAGAAATTAGATGAACTTGACGAGAAGGTGAAAAACGTTTCTACGAATACGAATAAAAAACAAGAAATCCACTCAAACGCAGTTTACACCAGTCGAATGATTATTTCAAAAGTAATTTCAATTCAAACTGACACAGGTACTTTCTATTTCTAAATATAAATCATATCGATATTATTGTTTCACGTTAATTAAAAATTACATCGAATATTTAGGCTCTACAAGTGTCTGTTTGTATACTCCAAACGATTTCAATTTCAGCATACCACATGAAACCAAAGAGAACGAAGAGATATCGAGTAACTTGCAAGAAAAACTACAGACTCATAATGAAAAACTTCCAACAAGGACAATGTCAAAAAAGAATGGCAACTACTTTATAAATTAAATCTAAACATTGGAAACCCTGATGTAAACATAGGATCGATATTAACTGTGTTTGAGTTAATTTCTAACTTATTTGAGTCACGCATATATATTTGTATTTTATTCAATTAATATTATCGTTATCGGTGGTAATTTATTGCAGTTTTACACTACATAAATGCTCATTGAATTCTAAAATTTTATCATTGTAGTGAATACGTTTTTGTTACATGTCTGCCTAAGCATTTATTCCTAATGAAAGGTAGTTTTCTAATGCTAGCTTTACACATATCAGTTTTAAGAAGCAATCTTACACTAGAATTTGTTTATAAAAAAAGCTTTCATTTTAGTTTTTTATAATTATTTATTCTTCTATATACTATAGTAGATTTAAATACAATTTTATTCGTATATGTGCAAATAATAAATCGTAAACTTATAATTATAAAAATAACAATAAATTCAAATGAATATACAATAGCTTTGCCCTTCTAATTTTTTTTAAAAAAAACATGGAAATATTTGAAAACTACTTTAGCACTAATTGCGAAACTCTTCGAAACTAATTTAGAAAATTACCAGGAGTTAGCCAGGCAAAGTTAATCTATAATATCGTATTTTGATTGAAATTATCCTTTCTAATCGATATCTTTATCTATGATCTTATAAGTTTCTATTCGTTCTTTAGAGAATTTTAAATATTTGGTCAGCTTGACCGATTGTTTATCGTTATCCTCAAGGTACTCATCGGTGGCGAGATCTCTTTTTGCGATAGCTACTCTTTCTAAATACTCATGGCGTTTTATCGCCAATTTTACGGAGTCTGGCATATCTGGTATAATATATGCAGATAAAACTTTGACGAGAAGTACAAGATTCTAGAGAAAAATGTAATGTTAATCCAAAGATTACAAGCACCTTGTGAATATATTTTTGAAAAGTCACTCACCTCAAATGCTAAAATAAATGCTAAACGAACAATAAGCAAAGACTTCTCATCATTTCCAACAAACTTTTGAAATAAAATTTGCATATAAGTTGAATGAAAAGCTAAAATTGTAGCATTAGTGAGCACAGCCAAAATTGAAATCATGTAAATAATATTATCCCACATTCCAATATTTTGAGCAAATGATTGGTCGTCTTTTAAGCTTAATGTACTGTAATCAATAAAAAAAACATGTCAAAATATTTCATAATTTGATATTTGATCTACAGCGTTATTTACCTTAAAACCATCCGTTCGAATCTCAACTATATTATTAAACCAAGCACATAATGGTGTTAGAGGAAAAGCAACAACAAAAAGAGAAATAAAGCCAAATTGAACAGCTACAATAAGCAAAAAAAGTATTTGTCAATATAATGCTGTCAATTTTTTTTAGAAAATATACACACTCATTCTCTCATATTCTTTTCTGATATCATCATTTTCAGTTGGCAATAAATCATTGTCTATAATCCATGGATATGAAGTTGACTCCTTCCCAACTTTGATTTTTTCATTCAGTTCTTTTTCCACATCTTTTATTTCTTCGTTCATCCTTTTTTTAGAAGCTGACTCCTCCACGACATTGATTTCTTCATCCAATTCTTTTTTAGAGGATGGCTCCTCCACGACATTGATGTCTTCATTCAATTCTTTTTTAGAAGTTTTATCCCTATTCCGATAACTTATAAATGAAATAAAATTATTCTTAAACGAATAAAATTTTTGCTTAAGCGATCTAAAAATGTCATTGTAGGTACATTTATTGTAAGTTCTAAGTAGTTTGAGGATTGATCATTTGTATACATGGGATACTTACGGTAATCCAAGTTCTTGCAATTGACCTACAGCTTGTCTGCCAATAAGAATAACAGCGAGTTGTATAGTAAGTTCTCTCATGCAATCGTCATTTTCACATACATGTACACGTGCATTGTCATGAAATATTTTCTTAGGAAGCTATATACAAAATATACTTAAATTAATATTAAGTTATTTTCAGTGATATAATATAATAAAATGTTTTACCCATTGTTTAAATATTAAAATGTAAAAAAGCGCAGCATAAAAGTTTACAAAATCGAAAAGATAGACTTTTAAAATATGAGAATCTAGCAGAATATAAAAATTATTAATGACATTGTTTTCTAAAGGACATAAGATAAGAACAAATTGATACCTTCAAAACTTGTTGCAGTTTTATGGTTCTCCAAATTAGTGAGTTTTATAGCTAATTTTCTGTAAAACTAAGTCGAAAATAATAAATCAATATGAGCTTAAAGATTATAAATTAGAAAATAATTACCAGACTTAGGGTAAGGACTATGCCTAAATTAGTAGTGCTCGATAAAAAGCTACCCCAACCGTCAAAATTTTTAAACCATTCTCTTGAAAATAGCAAGAGCTCCAATTGTTGTAATTGCGACGAGCATCTGTAATTTTTTTCGCATCAATTAATTATAGCTTGGATAAAAAAATTTTCATCAATATTTGTGCCACATACCGACACAAAAACAAGTGTCATCGAAAAGAAATAACGTTGCAGTCTTTTACGTAGCGGAAAAAAGATTTATTGCTTGGCTGTTACTAGCGATTCTCGAAAGTCTTTAATAGAATAAAAACAACTATTAGAAAATTAGTAACGTTAAGATATATTATTGAGATAAAAATTATACCAGTTCCATAAAAATTTGGACGAGGTTGTTCCTAATTAAGAGAAAAATTAATTGTAAAAAAAATAACATTCAAAGTAAAGATATTGATTTAAAAGTTACAGTTTTGTTAAAATGGGTAACACCCCAATCATAAGTAAGAGCAGAATTATAACGTTTCCACGATTCTAAAAAACAAGTAGCTGATAGAAAAGATGAATTTATAAGTAAATAAAAATTTTAAACTTCAATATATTATAACTAAATACTAACCCCAAATGGACATGAAGAGAGCAAATACAAGAGTAAATGCATTATCCCAGATTTTAGAAATTGGAGTATCGTCATTAGAACTATTAATTGGAAATAATATTAGAGTTAAAATTAAAGATAAAAGGTCTTTCTGAATTCAAATAACTTACGTTACGAAATCAATAATACCGTAGATAACGTTGATAATTCCAAGAACAGATGCTACAAACAACCATGAGGTATATAGACCTTAAAAATCATGATTAGATTAGGACCATATTGACTTCCCATCTATCATAATATTGATATAGTTACCAAGCCATGCGAAGTACATTGCTAATTTTTCACCAAAATATTCTCTAATTTCATTTAAAGGTTGTCTTTTTCTACTTTTTTTAATCCAAATACCATAAAGTTTGGCTCTTAAATTTTCCTTTTTCTTATCGTCTGCTTTCCCATCGTGTAGAGGATAAAAAGTAGTATATACTTTTTCTTCTATTAAATTTTCAAAACCAAAGGACCTCAGACGTACTGTTTGTAATACTTTTTGATCATTTACTTCAGGTATAATTATATTTGCAGTGACTATGAGATGGTTTGTCTGAAAAATAACTATTAATTTAATTATTATAGAATAATGCTGATAAATATTTTAAATTTACCAATAAGTTGCGGTTTGAGCTGCTCCAAAAATGTAAAGCAATATCGCTGTGCTTTTTGCATCCATATGCGCCTTTGTATTTTTCCAATTGATCCGTTTGGAAGAAAGATAATCTTTTTTTGATGTTTATTTTATGGACAAAATATGATGATATATTCTGATACAAAAACCCATAAATTGATTGTTGATTCTCGTTAGTTCCATTATTAATTTTTTGACTTTCCGTGATCGCATTTTGATCCGAGTTTTCATCATCATCATTATCATTTGAACGGTCTATTTTCGATACTGCTCTTAGCTAAAAAAAAATTAAAACAAGTTTAAGCATAATTCATTAATTACCTAAATAAATTATACCTACAGCTAATTCCTTTTTAATACGTATTTCTTCTGCAGCTTCACATTGTTTCATAAAAGGTGTCCATATTTTAACATATGTAACATTTTTACTGGAGTCAGTCTCATGTTCAACAAATAAGCCTGATAATAAGAGAAGCAGCTCAAATTTTTTTACGAATGCATAGATTTTCTTTTGACATTTCTATGATCGTATCAGTATGATCTGTAGACTTATCACGTTTCGAATCAAATTTGAGGATGAAATCCGGAAATTTATCATCATATATAATTCGAACAAGAGCATCACCAACTTTTTGTCTATCTTCTTTGTCACCTAAAAGGAAAATTTGATTATATTAATACATGTACTATTAACGTAATCTGTTTTTAATTCGTTTTCTTACCAAATTCATCAATCGCATCTTCCATTGATTTTAAATCGTTCTCTTTTCTCCAGTTAATTATTTTTTTAAGTAAATCAAAATTATCTTTGTCAACCAAGTATAAAATGCGAGTTCTATTATTATCTGATTGTGACGGTAATCTAACTTTATAAATTAACGGATTATTTACTTTCCGCTTAATTTTTTTATAAAAATATAGCGTTAGTGTTATTAAAGACAGGATGAAATATATGTAGACCAACCCAGCCTAGCCAAAGTCACCATCACGTGCCCACAGACCAATAAAAACGTGTAAATTTTCTCTTTCCGGGTAGCACAAACCAATAAGTATGTGCAAATTTTGATCAACCCGGCAAAATAAATCCGACACGAAATGAAAAAGACGAAAATACGGAAAACTGGTGTCAAAATATGGTTTGAAGCACTAATTTTGGCTACGCTGGGACGCAAAATTGGTTTTTGATAGATTGCACATAAGTCACGTTATTCTTGTACATGTATCCTGGAAAATAGTTCGCACCATGACACATGTTATGGCACAGACTAATAAGGGTGCGCAAATTTTCGATCAGCTCGGCAAAACAAGTCCGGCGCAAGAATAACTTGGTGCATTAATTAAAAACGTCAGGAATATAATTTTATATATAATTCGATCTTCAGCTCCAACACTGACCCTTACCTGACCTTAAAATCTACCTTTAGCATTAATTGAGTGCGAAAATATCAGTCAGGATAACGTGACTTATGTAACCATCAAAAAACGTAACGTTAATGTTTTACAAACACCACGTGAATGTGGATTCTTCATACTTGAATAGGTACAGTTGCCATTCGATGTGTTTTAGCCATTTTTCAATAATTTATAGTAAAATAGTAGAGAAATAAAACCAAATGAAAGCAATTAAAATTTTGAAATGAAGCAAATTACGAGGTTTTATAACTAAATTTCAAATCCCGTAAACTCGCTTTGATTGAGGAATTCGTTAGGCATTAGCACACGCATATATGTTTCACGTACATTATAAATACAGCATGCATGCTGTACGTGATGCGTAAACTTATTCAATTTAAAGATTCGCTTGCATAGACTACCCCAGCATGACAAACAAAGATGCAAGCACTGTGGCCGTGTTATAAATCAATGAAATCGCAAGATTAATTGGCCAATTAATTAATTAGAATTTGGTTAGGTTAAGGTTATTTGCCAAAAGAAATGTGCTTATAGCAAAGTTTGCGGTATACTTTTTTTTTTAGAACACAAGACAGTTTCACATAAACGTTTGTTTTGAATTTTTTGCATTTTTGTAGTACATGTACGCAGTTTAATTGGTCGATCACAGAACCACAACAGATTTAGCATTCACATAAATGGAAGTTCTATAACGATGACGATAAATACATGTACGTAATAAAGAAAATACATGTAATAAAGAATATGGCTCTACTTTTACATACGTAGATGGAAATTCCATAAAATAATACATAACGATAACGATAAAATTCGTGTATGTCAGTTTTCATAACAATAAAGAATCTTTATTCTTTGCATATCCAAATACTTTAAATATTTGATCACTAATATATATAATATACTTTTATATATATTAATACTAAATCATTATTAGTTATATTTACTTGAAATAATATTAATTTAAATTGGTATTAATTTTCTTTTGTCACTTATATTATTCAACAATAATTTTGAAAATGAAATTGTCAATAAAAAGAATTGTTATATATAAAAAATGCTTAAGATTACAAAAAATATCAAAATATATCATAATTATCGAAAGCTAAAAAATGAACTATGTTTTTGTCTTAATTATATTTACTAATCAAAAATAAGTTTTTAACAAAATATAATTAGATGGTTATTATATATATTATTTTTTATTAATATAAATCTTTATTATATTTTAAATATTAATTAAATAATTAATGTATGTTATTTCAATCAAGAATCTAATAAAAACAGAAGTTTCATAAAATTGTAGTAATTCCAGTTAAAATCATCTCATTTCCAGCAAAATAACTTCACTAACCAAAGCAAATGTTAAAGAAGAAATAAATAACTCACCCATCACCAATCATCACAACTAATTGATAATCAATAAATTGAAAAATTAGTGCATATAACTACCAATATATTAACAGTTTCCATTGCAGAATTAATTGCAAAATACTTGCTGACAATATTACAAAATCCAGTTAACACCAGTAACAGCTTGTATGACTTGGATATCAGTGCAAATCAGAGAAATTTGGTGAATACTGACAATATCAAAAGAAAATATTCAGAAAACTGAGTGTAATCATCAATGACCAAACACAGCAAGTTCACCAGGTGAAGAATGGGAAACAGAAGTGATTAAAATGATAAAGAGGAACTGATTTGATCAAGATTAGCTGGCAAGAACCTGCACTCACTAAACGATTAATAGAAATATTAAAATGTCAATGACCGACCAATGACATTATCAAAAAGTCATTGACTGTCTTAAACAGATAGCCCACAACATAAAGAAGAGCCTAGAATTACCATGTATTAAGTAGCAAGACAGTGCTAATAATAATAATTACTATAATAATAATAATAAGAAAATAGTACAAGTGAAACAATGGTCTTATTATATAATATATATATTCGTCGACAATCGGGAAAATCAGCCGGATGTTATATGATTGGCTGATAAATTCATCTATTCTGATTGGTGTATCTTTGTAGGTCCCGCTGGGGTAGTCCCTTTAACAGGCCATATCAATAAGTCCTGTGAATTATCATCAACAATTGATTCTGATATTTTTAATTTGGGCAGTCTCAATAAGACCCGACGTTTTTTTATTTTATTTTATTTGTATTTTCATTTTCTTAAAGGCAGTCTTCGGTCGTTATTGTTAATTGAAATTTTTTAAATTTTTCTTATTACGTTGGCCAGTTTGCGTAAAAGCTGCCACAGGAGACCTCTAGAACCATAAAGAAAACCCTTTGTTGCGTAAATCATTCAATCTAACTCCTAACTGACGGTCACAATCTTTTCCTTTATTTCTTGATCTTTTATTTCTAACGTGACACTATCCCCCAGCACTAATCCTAACTCTGGTCATATTCCTAATCTAATTTGGGCCGATTGTGATTTGGGACAATTGTGCTTTGGAGCACAACATTTATGATACATGTACATGAAACTCTTTGTTTAATTTCCTTATTTATAAGATAATTTCCTTATTTATATTTAGACGATTTTTACAGTTAATCTTTTCCTCCAATTACGTATTTTATAATTCATGATATTAAAAATGTTATTAATGTCAATAAGATATTTATATTTAATGTTCGTTATTTCAATATCAAGTGTACAGTCATTCTACTCTTCTGATGAAATATCTGGTGCAGAGACTGGAATATTAATTGACAACAAGGTTATCATCTTTGATAGTTACGACTTTCGAAATGCTACCACTGCATTTTCCTTGGACCTTTCTAAAAATTGGACAACATTCACACCAGGATTCACAGCGATCGATAATTTAGTTTCTGCACCGACGTTTTATTTTACCGCCTTTAGCGCACAGAAAAAAGATAACCACTCAGTAATATATGCTTTTGGTGGGAGGATTGTAAGTCTATGCAAAATGGATGCTCAATTATTTTTGAAAAGTTTTTAAACTATACTTTGAATATAATAATAGCCGATAAACGGAAATTTTTCGAATTTCAATTACACAAACAAATTTTATAAAATTGATGTCAACCCTTCGTCCTTTTCATTTTCGCCTCTTGATTCCCCTCTTCAAGCTCGAAGCTCCGTGCAATCAGTCATTGATGACCAAGGAAAACTTTATATATGGGGTGGATATACTTATATAAGCGAAGATAAAGCTATGTATATATTTGATACCTTTGATTCAACATGGAACCAAATTCTACCTTCTGGTTATGTTCCAGATCAAAGAAAGCTCTATACTTCAACATTTAAAGATGGTAAAATTTATTATATTGGAGGCGCCTATCGAACTAGTGAAGTTGCTGATATTCGACAAGTAAATTAACTTTATTCTATTTTATATATAAAGTAAAATTACTTATATATTTTACTTTTTAAAGATATTAATTTATGATACGCTCAAGAATGCTTCTCCGTGGTCCTCAATGGTGAGTGTAATCAAGTAAGATCAGTACTTAAACTCAATATTAATTTTTATCTTATTTAATTGATGGAAAGATGGCAACAAATAAAACAGAGATTAGCAACCGTATTTTTCATTCAGCAGTTCTTGGTAAGAGAATATTTACTAATATATTTCGATTACATAAAACTAAGCTAATCTTTTCATTCACATTAATTTTAGCTCCTGATAATATAAGTATTATTATATTTGGTGGCATGAAAGAATTCTATAATTCAAGAAATAGTTCACTAGATTATACTTTATATGATTACTTGATTACTTTGAATCTCGAACAATTTGAATTTTCAGAGCTTAAAACTCTAAACAAGCTCAGCATTGATGATATACCAGCTCGTCATGCGGCTATTATATATAATAATTTCATGATCGTAGCTTTCGGTAATTAATGTTTTATCAATGTTAATACTTAATGTGGAAAATCAATAATAATTTTTGTTTTGCAATTTAAGGCATATATGAAACTACAAATCCTACTCGAAAACTTGTAAAACTCTTGGATTTATCTCAAAAGGAATATAATTGGGTTGATAAATATATCGCTCCAACCCCAACCCCATCGCCACCGCCGTCTTCACCTTCACCACCGAGATTAACAACACCGACATCTCCAACACCGCCGATTAAAATAATAGTCATATCAACAATAGGATCACTTGTTTTTGTCGTGGCAATTGTGATAGGTTTTATATTTTTTTATCGTAAAAAACATAGAAATGAACAAACTGCTATCAATAGCAATATATTGCAAACTCGACCCAATACAGTGTTATTTCCTAATATTCCCGTAATTGTAGATCAACAAAATACTAATCCCAATACACCCGAAATTATATGTCAACAAACTACTACACAAGTTCCGTTTGGTTACCCTTATGCTCACAATGATCCTAGAACTAGTTATGGTCATTCTTTAGCGTTCAAGCCTTCATCACAGTTTCCTTAAATTACTTTTGAATATTAACTATTATAATGTATAATTTATATTGGATGTTTTTTTATTCCACAATATTGGCAATCAGATTGGAAATTCCAGTGATTATTCAATTAAAAGTAAATAAATATAATCTAAATTTTTATTGATAATAGCCAACAGATTTACTAAAAATCTAATTCTAATATTATGTTATTCGACTATTAGCTCAAAAATTTATATACCGTCCCCTAAATATAATGAAAATCTTTTTATACAATAACTTGAAGATGAATGAACAAATATGTTCTGTCAAAGCTTATATGTTTATCATATTATAAAGTAAATTCAAAATATATAGCCAAAATACATCTAATATGTTATTTTGCACCAAACTCAAATACAATTCCCAACGAAAATAATGACAATGAAAGTGCTATGCATTGTTTTGAAAATATAATTGTAATTTTTCAATCTAGTTTATTATTTATTATATTTATAGTACTAAATTAAGCTCTAGAATGCTACTGATACAAAATATTTATGAGATTTTTTAAAATTCAACTTAATATGGTGTGTCCCACTTAGTTGCATCAAATACTTTGAACAATAAATGAATTTATCTAAATATATAATCATTAAAACAAATATATTATTAATTAGCCTTTGAAAGAATCTATTACATTAAAACTATACACAATTATTTCATTTCACAAGTTTTTTTTATATAAAAAAGCTGATTATATCTTTTATTGATATTTTTGAAAAGTTTTATATATTATTTTGTTATATATTATATAATATTTAAGCTACTTATACTAACTAATATATTATTATTTGAAAGCAAATTAAAATATTGTTACTTTAATTTTTAGGCTATTGAATTTATTTATTTAATACTTATGACAAGAAAAAAATGAAATAGTACAAAATGAGAGAATAATGTAATAAACTATTTCAGTATTTCAGATACAAACAAAAAATATTTATTCTTGCCTTGTTTATAAATCCTTATGAATATAATTTCTTCACGATCTCACTTGTAACCGCGCGTAAATAATACCTTTGGTAAGATTTTTCAACATCAAAAGGGATCCATTCAAAGATTCACAAGGATAATGTTTAGCAGCAATTACTGCGTATTCTTTTATTAGACAGGCGATATCTTTATCTTCGCTAAACCATTGAACTTTAAAAATTCGTTTGTGATATTTGTTACATTCATAGTGATAGAAATTAGAATTATTTTGACATCTGGTACATTTACTACAATCATGAGCGATCACCTTTGGCAGTAACCGTATAGACAACGAAGGTATTTATTACAACTTTGAGTATTAGAAACATCTTTGAGTATTAAAACTTTGAATGGTGATATGTGTTGTTATTGGATTTTATGTGAAAGACACCCGATATCTCTTCATTCTCGTTAATTTCATATAAATCTGTTTGCACACTAAAGAAAAAATAATAAAGAATTGAAGTAATTAGTGAAAAGAGAATAATGCAATTTTACCTTCGTTGGAACAAACAAACTGACAATTGTAGAGCCTAATATTTGATATTGATTCAAATGTTAATATAATTTATGTTTAAAATAAATACTTGTAGAAAGCACATGTGTCAGTCGGAATTGAAATTAACTCTGTAGTGAAGATTCGACTGGTATAAACAGCATTTGAATGGATTTGTTGTTTTTGTTCGTATTCATATGAATGCTTTTTCGCAATCCCATCTCATCAAGTTCATCTAATTTCTGTTTTTCTAGTCTAAAACACTTGATCTTAGGAAATTATAAAAAACCGTAGTACTGATTATCAACCTCTTTAATATCAATACCTCTCTATTATCAACATTTATTGCAGAACAAATTTCACTTGGACTAATATATTGATACTAACTCTAACCTCTGAGTTATCAATCCTCTTATATATCAACAAAAATGCCTGGTCCCATCATGTTGATAATAGAGAGGGTTGACTGTATTTGGTTTCCACTCATTATAAATCTCGTCATTCTTGTAGATAGATTTAATAAACTTTCAAGTTCCTCAGCAGTTGGTCTGTTTTCTGGGATAGGATCCCAACATTTTTAAATAATAATTTGCACATCCGGGAACATTAATAAAACGAACAATGTTGTTGAGTTTTTGATACATTCCTAGTTGTATGTCGTTTCATCTTGAAGCAAAATATACTCCATAATAGATTTCTCACATTTATGTAATTTAGAATTTTTAATTCGAAAGACAAATCTTTTAAAGTACAGTCGACTCTCTAAATAAATCTTTCTATAATGAACTCGGGACATAACGTATCTTAAATTTTAAATTTTAAATTAGTTCATTTTAGATAGAGAGTATCATCCATTGCACAGACTATTCATTAAAGAAGAAGTAATGTATCTTAAATTTCAGCAGTTCCTGAATTTGTGGTGGTTACTAAACGAAAAATGGCTATGGTAGTCGCCAAGATTTGTGTGTTATTGAATGTTCGGAAATTTTATTAACAAGCAGACTTGTTAGTATGAAAATGTGCAAAATGTTAGTGAATTTATGGATCAGACCATATTTACCATGCACATAATCTCTACGCATGTTACATTTTACAAGACAGTAATTCCTGGAGAAGCTTGGCAAAGTTGGGGAAAGATTTACCACAAGAGAAGTCAGTTTTCATCGGAAGAAAAATGGTAAACAAACTGGTTTAAATATTGCAGAACCAGATGGAAGGCGAAAATGCTAATAGCATTGACCAAAATTCATCAATATCTTTCGAGTGGATGAAATTAATTATCATAGCTAGACAGCCACGCTCGGGAGCACTTTGCAATTACTTTTTACTGCTTTATTTCACTGAATAAAGCATTTCTATTTGTTATTTGCGTCCAAAATAAGAACTTTTATATGAGGTATATAATAATACTTGACGATGACGAAACCTTTTACCATGGCCACTTTGGAAATGAAAGTGGCGAATGACGAATTAATAAACTAAACCGTAAAAACAATAGATTAAATCAAACTTTATCAATTTCTCGGTTTAGTTTTTCTGTCTGCATAATTTTATCAATTATATAGGTTTATTTTCTCAGGTTTTCATAATGCTGAACAAATTCAGCATAATTTTGATCGTTCATGGTCTTCGGCCAATCAAATACTAAATTTCTAAGACGTAATATTCATTAGAATTCGGAATGATTGATGCACAGCACCATATGACGAACGTGTGAAATGCATAAAGGTTGGATTCGAATAATAACTTTTTCGAATATTTGTCACAAGTATCTTCGTAGGATACAACGAATAACATGAAGTCATCAGTTAATCATTCTATATAAAATTTGGAGATATTTTCACAATAGTGATAATTCACACTGCAATATGTTCGAATAATTACTCGAAAAATCTATCTCTGAATAAAATTAGCGTTAGATAATATTCAAAGAACTCGAATTTATTCGAATATTTTTTATTTATGAAGATTCGAATAATAGGAATCATTTTGTACATGTGATTTAAGTTATTATTTTGATTGGTCAGAAGGTTTTATCACAGGTTTTCATCAATCGTTACATGTTTCGGTCAAACGTTATGGATTCGTCATTATAAAAATAGTTTCATCAGAAGTATAGGATTTGGGATGATGCGTGCTAATCTTTTCTTTAGCTACAACGGAAATCGTGATGTTTATTAAGAAATTACTTGACCAGTAGAAAATTAATTAATCCATGAATCTAACATTCCTGTGGTTGAATAGATTGAACCCAGAAGCACAAGTGTGATGAAGTGGAGGGCGCATTTATTGGCATCATTAGTGACGGTTGAGCGCGGTATTTCTTGAATGAGTTATGAACGAAAACAGTTGCGTATCAATCAGAACTCGAATATTCCTTGGCAAATATTCAACGATCTGAGGTCACTGAAATTCCAACCATGTAATTTTGCAAGAGTCAACGGATCGCAGTCACGAGTATAAAGTATATATATTTAATAATGATTGTAAAAGTCGAGTTTTTTAAAAAGAAGAGCTGTTTATAGAACTTCCGTTTACAGTCAAACCTCTATATAATCACATCATATAAAAGCCTCTCTATAATCACCCTTTTGTCTAGAACCAATTATAATAAAAGCACCTCTCTATAAGCAAATTTATTATAAATCCTCTTTATAAGCACACATTTTTGAAAAAATTACTATTGGGCCCGACAGTGTGATTATAAAGAGGGTTGACTGTATTTACAAATCGAGTTCTGTGTTAATGCTATCATGAAAATATCACATCTGCCATTTCAATAAATCAGATATCAAATTTAATCGAGTCATTTTTTTTATTATCTTTATTGGTAATATCGATATATCGTGTTTAAGCTTAGAACTATGGTCTGAATTTATTTTTTGAAAAATTTAATTGTATTAAAATTAAAAACATCTTGTTCACACCTTGAATATTGTTCATTTTTATTTCGTTTATGAACTCTAATGTGATTTGCTTTGTGTTAAACACAACTTCGTATTCTCCACGTTGTTTAAATTATTTTTTTATGATCCAAAAACTCATCTAATGGTCCATTCTACCATGCCAGGTTGTTTTATAAATCCTACTTTTGCAAGAAATTCAACACAGATAAATTGGGAGGAATATTTACATGTTTTATCCATGTTTCTGAATCACATTTAAAATGATTATTCATTGATTATTATTATATGTACAAGAAAATCGACTCAATAAATGCTTACTCGACGTCCAGGATTTTAATGCTCCAGCTTTAAATGATTTTCCACTGGCTGTTGAACCTGAAGACATTTCATCCCTATCTGACTGGCAAATAGTTTGGATTTTTTTAATTATCAACATGTCTTTGTGAGAGAAATCAAACATAGAACTTTATTATATCAAATGTTATTTTCATGTGGAATTCTTATTGTTCTTCATAATATAAGTAGCGTGAATATATATGAAAGTTCTATATTCATGTCATGTAATAATTAATTGATCTCTAAGATTCAAATTTAATCGAGCCATTTATCTTTA